GTCTTGGTGTCATACTTTTCATAACATATTGTAGGTTGAGCTGCCATGAGGGCCTACTGGTAAAGATGCTTGCCTCTCACTTGGAAGGTTGAGAGTTCAAACCTAGGTAGCGGCAGATACGTCTCTCCCAGGGCGCAAAGAAAAAAAATATCTGCTGTGAATTCAGCATGGTGTCAGGAAGGGTATCCGGCCAGTCAATGCTCAGCTCCATCCAGTCGCCCCGATTCTACCCCGAATAAAGGGGTTATAGGGTCATGAAAAAGGGGAGTGTTGTTGTGTTTTTGACACATCCCCAAAATAAAAAGGGTGCATTGTCACATCTATCTTTATTTTCTAACCAGTTTAATACAGCACTCTAGGTGGATTATAGATGGATAATAGATGGACAGATTGATGGATCGAGGGGGAGAAAAAGAGAGAGATGGGGGTTGTGGGGGTGGGTGTGTTTCTTTTCCACACTTTCTGTAATATTTCATAGTGAATTTCTGCTCATTTTACAGGACATTGGCTTCATACCGTTTACTAGCACCCAGATATACAAGCCTAATATTTGCCGCACCATGGAATACTGTAAGAATCTGAAGTGAACTGATAAGGGTGGAAGGGGGAAGCTCCTCTACTTATTGATCGATTGCATTTGAAGGTCAAAAAAGTCAAGATGGTGGCTGCAACTGCCCCATTAAAGCCCTGTCTCTTCTTTATGTCCATAAGATGAGGCGGGAAAGGAAAAGTCTTGACACCTTGGACGAGGCTCCTGAGGGCAGAGTGGACAGCTAAAAAGACAAACCAATGAGTCATTGAACACAGCAACTCCCAAGTTCTCACTTGGGCACAAAGGATCAGGCTCAAACTATCATATTATGTAAAAACCTGGCTTTCTTGAGAAGACTCCCATGACAGGAAAGATGGTGGAAGGAACGAGAAGAACGGGACAACAAGTAGCAAGGGAAATGGACTCCGTTACAGGGGTTGATGGAGGGGCTGTTAGTAAAGATGGAGGACCCAGTTAGGGACCAATTATCATGCAGAATATCTATGTCAGGGGTGCCCAGCCCATGGATCAGCACCATGCCAGCAACCAGGCCACGCAATCCACGGGATGCAGGCAGCAGGCAAAACAATGCCTCCTCCGGTCTGTCAGGAAAACCTTTCTCCATGCCCGCTCAACTTGGTAGTGAGTAAGAATCAACAAAGCATGATGACTCAGCGGCTTAACAACACTGGAGACGGTCTATGCTCCAGTGGTTTGAGTCCTAGCACCGTGTGATGGTGTGAGCTCCTGTCACTCGCCTCAGCTTCTGTCCACCTAACAATTCGAAAGCATCTTCTATGCGAGCAGATAATTAGGTAGCATTTTGGTGGAGAGACGAGTTGGTGCTCCGTGTGGGCAGTCAGATTCCTGCTGGCTCTGAACCTACCCAGTTGCAGCACCCGTTTGCAAGGCAGCTCCGAGGAAGTGAGGGGAGACCTTGGGTGATGCTGTAGGAAGAGCCACTCATGGGTTTTTTTGGGGGGGCGGGTATGAAATGAGCTCACCTTCCTGTGACACATCTTGGGAAGTGTGCAAGTGTGTCCTATAACAGAGGTGGCAAATTGGCAAGCCAAAGTACAACTCTGCAATAAAATTGTGATCTCCTGGCTAATGTAAAAATGAGGATAAGGGTGAGGATATGGATGATAAGAATAAGAATCAAATTGTTGAGATATAACCACCAATCAAAGACTATTCGTCTTGGTTGGTTGCTTAGTTGCAGCTACCCTCTTGACTTTTGTTGGAGAAAGTGTCCCTCACACTTTCTTTCCTGCACTTCCTTCTCTTCGTTTAACACTCTTGAGTGCTTGTGGCTCTCAGAGACATGGTAATGATTATCTTTTATATGTTCGTGAGGGTGATGGGTGTTGCTTTGGAGAATTCATCTTGGAAGGACAGCTTGGAGATGCTAAAATACAAAATGCACGCTTTTTCTCTTGGCAGACTCAATGGCAGGAGGCCACAGCTTGCAACGTTTGTCCTCACCAGCAGTTGCGGAATACAAAATGGAGGACGCAATCGCAAATGTCATGGAAACAACCATCCGGAGCTACTTCCCAGAAACCTGGATATGGTCCTTAAAACCACTTGGGTAATCCAAGGATTCTACGTTTGGTGGAACGGGTAGCTCTTCAGGGAGAAATTTTTAAGACCTTATAGTCAGGGTTCAAAACTTTTTAACAAAGGGTTCTCTGCCTGGTTGCTGGCTGGGTGTGGCCATGGTGGGCACGGCTTTCCTCGAGCCTCTGGAAGGGCGAAAATGGCCTCTCCCGGGCTCCGGGCCCATTTCCGGCCTTTCCCGAACTTCCGGGAGGCCTGTTTTTCGCCTCGAGCCTCTGGAAGGGCAAAAATGGCCTCTCCCGGGCTCCGGGCCCATTTCTGGCCTTTCCCGAACTTCCGGGAGGCCCGTTTTTCGCCTCTAGCCTCTGGAAGGGCAAAAATGGCCTCTCCTGGGCTCCGGGCCCATTTCTGGCCTTTCCCGAACTTCCG